GTGTGTGTGTGTGTGTGTGTGTGTGTGTGTGTGTGTGTGTGTGTGTGAATGCATGTGCATGCATGCACGTGTGTGTGTGGTGAGTCATTTTGAGCAAAGACATATTAAACAAGCCTCAAATCTGTCTTAAAGATGCACACAAAATTTGTAGGATAATCCATGCCAAACCTATTTTCCCACAATGAGAATGTGCACCCTGGATTATTTTATGTGTATGGTATATATTCAGGGCTCAATGAAAGCGATAAAACACAGTGAAAACTGATAAGACTGAGGATTTTGGCTTGGCTTTATCAACTAATTTGGACTTATTCTAAATTCTCCCATGTACTTTTATGTTGACCTACATGTATCACAAGAAGGAAAAAAATTCTACTCAGTTATGTGATTTTTGTGGTGTTGTTGCAAGGCACTCAAGTTCAAGTTCAAGTTCAAGTTCAAGTTGGTTTATTATCATTCGCATCCCATGTGGTACATGAGGTGCAACAAAATTCTGTATACAGGGTCCCAGTTACTGAAAAGGAAATAAATTGTCTTCAACTGCAGAACAGAAGTCCACATTGGTTTTTTTTTCCTTCTTTTTTCAATGTGCTGATGACTGAGAATATATACCAAAAAATATTATTTGATACTTTGAAATGCAGTTTAGTAAAATGTTATCTAAGGAGGCTAACAAGTTCCATCAAATCTTCATTTTGTTGCAATCCCTCATCATGGGCAGCACACTGATGACAGTAGAAAGGATTGACTGCCTTTTAACAGGGAGAAACCTCAAGCAGGTTTGGGATGAGCAGTCACCTGCCCCCACTGGCTGGGATTAGAGAGGATAAGAAAGAGACAAAGACAAACAAAAGGATTGGTGCAGGTGTAGTTTCTATGGGAAGGAAAACCACAGGTTAATGGCAGTGGAAAGTAGAGAATAAAGACAGCAGCAAAATGAGGAGAAAACCCAAGCCAACCCGCTGGTGCCCATGTCCAGCAATCACTGTGCGAGGGGCGGGGTACACCCTGGACAGGTCGCAAGTCCATCACAGGGCCACATAGAGACAAACGAGACAAACAACCATTCACTCTCTCGCTCACACCTAGGGACAATTTAGAGTTACCAATCAGTCTAACATGCATGTTTTTGGTCTGTGGGAGGAAACCGGAGTACCCGGAGAAAACCCACGCATGCACAGAGAGAACATGCAAACTCCACCCAGAAAGGCCCCTGGACCGGGGTTTGAGCCAAGGACCTGCTCGCTGAGAGGCAGCAGCTCTACCAGTTGCGCCACCGTGCTGCCCTAGTTCTGCATCCTGTTCTACTTTTGAACCCCTACCCCACAACGTTCAAAGTTGACATTTCTTGCAGTTAAGCGCGTATTACATATTTATTATTTCTTGATCAGTTTTTTAATTTTTGTCCACTCAGAATAGGTTTGTCTTGTAATTTATTAGTCATGAATAGGTAACATCAAAAGATAAAGAAATATATAAGTTAAGGAAGAAAAGCCATGATTTTCTTTAAACCATTTAATTTTTTCTGCTGTGAAGCGAGACAAGCAGATTGGCCCTGACAGCTGTGAAAAGCTGCTCTACAATGATTAAGTTTTGTGTTAATGTCCATGTGTGAATTCGCTGGAGAAGACAGTGATGACAGCACCTCTGTCATGGATGAATGTTGTGATTTACTTTACCTCCATTGCTCCATCTCTCGTGAAAGCTGCTTCTCTCATGTGGCCTAGGCAACAAGCTTTTTCCATAGGGCTGTTGCCAGGGTAACGTAGAGGCAGAAAAGGGTAACGTGGAGGGGAAAGAAAAGTGCAAGCAAGGGAAGAGGAGAACAGAGCAGAGGGGAAGAAAGAGGAGAAATGAGGAATGATTAAGTTCAAGTTCAAGGTTCTTTATTGTCATTTGCATCACATGTTGTACATGAGGTGGAACGAAATTGTGTACACAGGGTCCCAGTTACATCCAATAGGATCTGAGATATAAACTAAGGAATACAACAAACTAAGAAATAGGCTAAACACTTAATAGTGCAAAACAATACGGCAAACAACAGCAGCACAAACAGGAGTCTGTGTGAGTAGATGAGTACGAATTAATACAGCACCATGAAATAAATCAGCAGCATGAATAATCAGCAGCACATAACAACAGTCTAAGTGGCATTACTTACATTAGTCTAGTGGTTCTGCACTGAATGCTCTGCAACCTCCTGCCTGAGGGTAGCGGGGCAAAAAGTGAGTGTGCTCGGTGAGTGGGGTCCTTCATGATGCAGGTGGCTCTCTTCCTGCATCTGGATGTGTAGATGTCTGTGATGGTGGGGAGACTGACTCCCAACAGACTTCTGTGCAGCCTTCACCACTCTCTGCAAAGCTTTTCTTTCTGCAGCTGTGCAGCCTCCATGTCACACGTTGATGCTGGAGCACAGGATGCTCTCCACTGCACACCTGTAGAAGGAGGTGAGGACTGAGCTTCCCAAACCAGTTCACCTCAGCTGCCTCTTTACCACACTCCCCTTTTTCATGGACAGTGGACCCCAAGTACTTGAAGTCCTGCACCTTTGTGACCTCTGCTTCTAGTAGCCTCACTGTTCCACCACCGTCCCTCACATTCATACACATGCACTCTGTCTTACTACTGCTCACTTTCATTCCTCTTTTTACAAGTGCATGCCTCCAAGTTCTCTTCCATATTTTCTGTTCTCACCACAGATCACAATGTCATCTGCAAGCATCATAGTCCATGGAGATTCCTGCCTGACCTCATATGTTAATTGGTCCATCACCAGAACAAACAAGAAGGGGCTCAGAATTGGTCCTTGATGCAATCCCACCTCCACCTTGAAGCTATCTGTCACTCCTACAGCACATCTCACCACTGTCCTGCTGTCAACAACACAATTTTTTTAGCTCAATAACTGTAAAACTAAAAGTCATTTTTCAGTTTGCAAATGCTGATTAGCTGTGGTGGCCATATTGAATTGGTTTGACTTCAAATGTTATAGATGTACAATCAGTGATTACTTTCTGAGAGATTAAATATATATTTAGTGGTTCATGACAGACAGACAAACTGACACATGAAGACACAAACATACACAATCAAGAGATTACATGATCACCCATCCTTTAATGTGGTGGATGATAATACCAGTCATGCATAATTGTTTTTAGACATATAAAGTATTTACTAATTTTTTAGATGTTGTTTTTACTGCTATCTATAAAATATTTCTCTTTTATTTTGCCTTAGTATAGGTCTGATCCACAAGTATAATTGTAAAAAATTAAATCAGAAGCAAATACTTGTCCACCTGAGCCACATATTGGAATATTGGATGAAGAGCATCTCAGCGTGACCTCAGCCAAAGTAAGGAGTACTTTAAGGAGGATTAATCTGCATAAGGCAACCGGCCCAGACAACATCCCTGGAAAAGTGTTGAAAGAATGTGCCGATCAGCTCTGCGAGGTGCTGGCAGACATCTTTAACACCTCACTTACCCTGGAGACAGTTCCCACCTGCCTGAAGACTGCCACCATCATCCCAGTCCCAAAAAGCTCTACAGTGACTGGTCTGAATGACTATCGGTCAGTGGCCCTCACCCCGATAGTCGCTAAATGCTTTGAAAAACTGGTCATGACCCACATCAAAACAACCATCAACATGAACAAGGACCCTCATCAGTATGCACACCGTGAGAACCGATCAACAGAGGATGCCATCTCCTCTGTGGTCCACAATGCTCTCAAACACCTGGAGCAGAAAAACTCTTACGTCCGTATGCTCTTTGTGGACTTCACATCTACCTTCAACACCATGATCCCCCAAACCCTGATGGACAAACTACTCACACTAGGACTAAGCCCCTCCATTTGCAACTGGGTCCTAGACTTCTTAACAAACAGACCAGAGTTAGTGAGGATCCACAACTTCTCCTGCTCCACCATAACCCTCAGCACTGGCTCTCCTCAGGGATGTGTGTTGAGCCCCCTCCTGTTTACTCTGCTAATGTATGATTGTGCAGCTACCCATCCAGGCTGTCACATTGCAAAGTTTGCAGATGATACAGCGGTGGTGGAATGCATCACAAACAATGAAGAGTCCAGCTACAGGCAGGAGGTGGAACACCTGGAGAGCTGGTGCAAAGAGAATAACCTTCACATCAATGTGAAGAAGACAAAGGAGATGATTGTGGACTTCAGAAGGAACAAACACACCTACACCCCCCTGAACATAAGAGGATCTGCAGTGGAAGTGGTCTCCAGCTACAAGTACTTGGGTGTACACATGAATGACAACCTCAGCTGGAGCCACAACACCACCAGCTTGATCAAGAAAGCTCATCAGAGACTCATCTTCTTCAGGCAGATGAGACGAGCTGGTCTGGGAAGCTCAGTCCTCACCTCCTTCTACAGGTGTGCAGTGGAGAGCACCCTGTGCTCCAGCATCAATGTGTGACATGGAGGCTGCACAGCTGCAGAAAGAAAAGCTTTGCAGAAAGTGGTGAAGGCTGCACAGAAGTCTGTTGGAGTCAGTCTCCCCACCATCACAGACATCTACACCTCCAGATGCAGGAAGAGGGCCACCTGCATCATGAAGCACCCCACTCACCCAGCACACACACTTTTTGCCCCGCTCCCCTGAGGAAGGAGGTTGAGGAGCTTTAAGTGCAGAACCACTAGACTGAGGAACAGCTTCTACCCTGAGGCTGTTAGACCCATGAATCTCTAACCAGAATAATCACTGTGAAAAAAATCACATAATTTTGTTGCTGAACTGTTCCATGTTACTGCTGATCTGTTTCAATGTTGCTGCTGATCTGTTTCATGTTGCTGCTGATATGTTTCAATGTTGATGTGTTCATGCGTGCTCATCAGCTCACACAGACTCATGTTCATGTTTGTGCTGATGTTCGACGTAATGTTTTTATGCTATTAGTGCTTAGTGTATATTTAGTTGATGTTTTTCTTAGTTCATATCTTAGATGTTATCGTTTTTCTTTTACATTTTATTGTTGGATGTAACTGGGACCCTGTGTACATAATTTCGCTCCACCACATGTACCACATGAGGTGTGAATGACAATAAAGAATCGCTGACTCTCTGACTCTCTGACTCTCTGACTCTCTGACTCTGATATTGTCACTACTGTGAAAAGAATAATAGGTTAATGTCCTGTCCCTTTTCAAAATAACAAGTCACAGTATGTTATGTACTTTTTCCTAAATCAATGATAAATCTATTTTCTTCCCCACAGGTAACTTGCTTGTTATAGCTTTTGTCAGTTACTTTGGGGCCAAACTCCACAGGCCGAAGATCATTGCCATGGGTTGTGTCCTGATGTCTGTTGGCACCTTTATCATCGCTCTACCTCACTTCATCATTGGATGGTAATGAAAACTTATGGAGTCAAATGTTGGACATAAATATGTTTACTACAGAAATGTTTTTAAATCATGAAGGTGTGTGTGTGCTTGTTTATCTTACTTTGTGAGGACCATTTTTGAACACATACTAGATTGTGTCGACCAACCAACTGCTCTTTGTGAGGACCAAAGCCCACTTCTCATTAAGGGCTAATATGGGGTAGAAACATGGCAGCTGACTCAGGACCCGAAAGTCCCAGATTCAATCCCCAGCCATTCCCACATGCTGTGGTGTCTCTGAGCAGGACACCTAATCCCTAATTGCTCCCCAGGCACTCACATAGCCGCCCACTGCTCCACCTGGGTGTATCCCAGGTGCAATGGGTTAAATGCAAAGAACCAATTTCACCATTGTATGGTAACATACAATGATGACAACACAGCACTTTATTATTATTATAAGGTTCAAGTGCCGCTGGTTGGTTAGGAGTTAGGTTTAGAACTAAGGTATGAAATGAGGATGGGTTAGGTTTAGGGTTAGTACTGGTAATTTTTTTTTTTTACCCTTTGTTTATACAGGTAGTCTCATTGAGTCACGAGAACTCATTTTCAAGAGAGACCTGTTTGGGAGCAGATGGTGGGGGTTAAGGGCCTTGCTCATGGTCCCAGAGTGGGGCATGATTAGAGTGGAGACAGGTGTGGGTGTTTCAACTTTTCCACCGAAATTTTGATGTTGTCAGTCCAGGAAGTTGAACCTGCGACTTTCCGATTTAACCTCTGCGCTACCACTCCCCAAAAATCAAAATGGTTAGGTTTAGGGTAATGGTCAGGCTTTGGCTATAGAAATGAATGAAAAATTAATGGAAGTCAATGCAAAGTCCACGCAAGATAGAAAGACAAACCTGTGTGCATGTGTGTGTGCTGTAAATCACTTTCTGACTCGTGAGTCCTTTATGTATTGTCTATATTAATGTTAGGTGAAATATTTTTCTGGCTGACAAGTGAATTAGAGGTTTTATCTGTCTGAAGTGTTTGTATGCTTGTGCATAGCTACAAATTTGAAACATCTGTGAGGTTGGTGGTGAACTCAAGTCATAACTCATCTCCATGTCGGGGGGGTTCAACAGTAGAACTGACACAGGACGATAGACCACCTCAGGTGCCATCCACAAGTAAGTGTTTACACAATGCACACAATTCCAGCATTAGCAATGTGAAATAAAATCTTATTTTTTCCCTCCAGGTTGTGATGGTGACTCCAACTTGTCCATGTGGATCTACGTCCTCCTGGGAAATGTCTTGCGGGGGATTGGAGAGACTCCTGTTCAACCACTGGGCATCTCTTACATTGATGATTTTGCTACTGAGGAGAATGCTGCATTGTATGTTGGTAAGAAAAAGTTCACCTAAAATTTAGAAGGGACTAATAAATTTCAAAGCTATCATTTGGCATATTGCCATGCCATTTTATGCCAGAAATTTAAACTAAAATTGTTTAATACTGAGAAAAGACAGTTGTAGCCATTTTAGTCAATACTTGCAAATAATGGTATGCACAAATACGTGATACTACGAGATCCTCCATCATCCATCCATCTTTTATCTTTACTCGTTAATTTTCTCAGCACTAAGAACCAGTTCTACAAAACCAAATATAGCTCAATATTTGTAAAACTTCCTAAGTTATAGCCATTTTTGTGTTGACTAAGGTTGATTAGATGTCATGGCCATCTTAAATTGGATTGACTTCAAATGTTAATAAGTTAGGTGTGTATCCAATAAATTTTTCTAACAGTCACTAACAAACAGTCACTGTTAACTACCACAGTTATTGCCAACGACTTAAGCAAAAATATTGTATGCTTGTATTGTTCTCAACTCTCTATGCGTTGGGAACAATGTTCATCCACTACCACAGCAAAATTTGGATTAATATCTGCAAATGTATTTAAGTGATAGTTATTTCCCAAATTCAGTGGACTGGTGGCCATGCACACATATTGCTAAGTTTAATTTAAATGTGTCCACTGGTTGAGCTATTATACCTATAATGAGCTATCTTGCCAACAGGCAGACAGTCAAACACCAGCACTAACAAGGAAAAACCCATGGCCTCTTGCAATCAGCAGAGGCTGATAAAGACATCTATTAACTGTCCATCTATATGCCTTACAGTTATTATACGTATATACACAATAATGTTGCAAGAAAATTATATTTATTTTCTATTTTTTACAAGTTATTACAGTCCCCATATAGGGCACAATCGTTAGGAGAGCTATGGTTCTTAGGTCAAGTTGACATACTTAATTATAATAATTTTACAAAGGTCATTGAAATTTCCTGCTAATAAAAATGTCAAATGTTGTCATGGTAACAACTATTTTATATGGTTGGTAGCCATCCTGTTAGAGGGGAATTTCTGTCAGCTCAGGGAGCCTGTACATCACTTCAACTATGAGTGTGTTTTGTGGTGGGTATGTGTGAGTGTGTGTGTGTGTGTTGGGGAGGTGGGAGGTGGGGGGGTGGAGCTAAAGTAGCTGTTTGATTTGCCATCCATTCATCTTGTCATGACTCTCAACCAGAGCCTGAAGGCTGATGAAGTCATTCTATACCTCACATTCTGGTTCAGTGACAATGAATGTGGCAGGTCTAAATACCCAAAAGAAGAAATGCAGACACACAACTCATGTGCCATTTTCTCATTTAAAAATATGTAAAAATTAAATGAAACTAGATAAGTCAAAATTTCTGGGAAAATGCAGTGTCAAAACTGAGTATTGAACGACTGCTGAAATTTGCTGAAGACGCTGAAACTAAGGTGATGAAGTTAAAGAACAAAACAAAAGCTGAAAGTGACAAAATGCTTGCTAAAAGGTCAAAGTAGCGTTACCGTACAACACAAATTGAAAGTGTATGCTGATTGATATTTAAAAAAGAACAATGTTTTTGAAGGAATTGAGAAGATCCAAATTTTAACTATAAGGAAAAAAAAAGTTGCACAGTTAAATATTTTGAAAAGTTTAAATAGCACCTATCTTCTGAATGTGCTGATTTTTTTGTAAAATGAGTAAGTTAGAGAAGAATTCGATCAAATACAATAAAATGAATGAAAAAAATAAAATACAGAAAAATTTTATAGCATTTACAAAATGAAAAACCTACTTTGTACAAATCTGAATGCATATTGCCCATTACCTATATGCCAGTTTTTAATTAAATTCATCGTGTTGAAAAAAGACACAATCTTTGTAGTCAAACCTTCAAAATGGCATCGTGTTCAGTCTCATGTGATGTCACAACGGCTCACATAATCAGTACTTGCAGCATGTGTTGGGGATAACTCTCAGCTACTACCACAATACACTTGGCTCAGTATCTGTAAAAATACCAGGCTTATGACCATTTTTATGTTTGTTTTTAGCAGTGACGAACATCAGGCTGACCAGGCTGATTCCCAAAAAAAAATAATTAGTTGTAGATGTTTGTACCTCCTATAACACTAGAAGTTTTATCAAAATCCGTTCAAAGTTCATGAGCTATTTTGCCAAATGACAGAGTTGACTCTAATAGTGACCCATTTCTATTATAAATAAATGTTTGGCTTTAGCATAACTGTAACATTCTATGTGGAGCACAGTCCTTGAGTTTGGAAATAATGCCTCTATTGTAGAAGCTCTACCATGTGCAACAGTGTTGGGGGGTTATTTTGTTTCGTTTTTCTAAATACGAGCAATGAAGCTCTTGTGTTCTACTACCAAAAAAGAACAGTCTTACCCAGCAGAGGGTTCCCAGACAAATTAGGGTAGGATTAAAAAAAAAAACCCAACAACTTATGAATACATGCATTAAATCATTAGGACTATAGCGCTCTGAAGGTTTGTGCATTTTAGTTCGTTAAAACCCTAACTTTTTGTTGTTGTTTATCCTCCTAGGCTGTGTGCAGACCATCTCTGTGGTCGGCCCTGTGTTTGGATACCTCTTAGGCTCCCTTTGTGCTAAAATATATGTGGACATTGGATTTGTAAAAATGGGTAAGTTGAAGCACATCTTATTTACAGTTTTTAAATACAAGTCATCAGATACCTGTAAAAAGGGTCTAGAAAATCCATCCATCCATTATCTTTTACCCGCTTCTTCCATTTTGGGTCACAGGAGCCGCCGGTGCCCATGTCCAGCAATCACTGTGCGAGAGTGAGAGGCAGGGGACACCCTGGACAGGTCACAAGTCCATCACAGGGACACATAGAGACAAACAACCATTCACTCTCTCACTCACACCTAGGGACAATTTAGAGTTACCAATCAGTCTAACATGCATGTTTTTGGTCTGTGGGAGGAAACTGGAGTACTCGGAGAAAGCCCACACATGCACGGAGAGAACATGCAAACTCCACCCAGAAAGGCCGCCGGACTGGAATTTGAACCGGGGACCTGCTTGATGAGAGACAGTAGCTCTACCTAAAACCCATGACCATCTCCTTCATCTTTTTCACATTGATGTGAAGTTTGTTCTTCCTGTACCAGCTCACCAGGTGTTCCACCTCCTGCCTGTAGCCTGACTCATCGTTGTTTGTGATGCATCCAACCACCACTGTATCTGTAAACTTTACAATATGACAGCCTGGATGGGTAGGTGTGCAGTCATATGTGAGCAGAGTGAACAGAAGGGGGCTCAACACACAGCCCTGGAGGGAGCCAGTCCTGAGGGTTATGGTGGAGGAGGAGAAGTTATGGATCCTGACTGACTGCGGTCTGTTGGTTAAGAAATCCAGGACCCAGTTGCATGTGGAGGAGCTTAGTCCTAGTGTGAGTAGTTTGTCCATCAGGGTCTGAGGGATCGTGGTGTTGAAGGCAGATGTGAAGTCCACAAAGAGCATTTGGACGTAGGAGTCCTTTTGCTCCAGATTGGTGAGAACAGTGCGGACCACAGAGGAGATGGTGTCTCAGCAGATGGCCGCTTGTCCTGAGCCTGGTTCTGCTAAAGGTTTCTTCCTCATGAGGGAATTTTTCCTTTCCACTGTCGCCTTCATGCTTGATCAAGATGAGAGTTCTGCGATGGAGTTAAATTCAGATCAGTCTGCTCCTCAGATAAATAATGTTAAATTATAATTTTTATATATGAATGTTTCTGTTCAGTGCCCTGAGACGACTTCTGTTGTGACTTGGCGATGTATAAATAAACTGAATTGAAGTGAATTCTGTTGATGGATGTTTGCAGTATTCATACTGGTGCGGGTCCTTGCTAATGTTGATGGTACCGTAGCTTTGATGTAGGCCATGACCAGTCTCTCAAAAACATTTAGCAACTATTGAGGTAAAGGCTACTGGCCTGTAGTCATTCAGACCAGTCACTTCAGAGTTTTTAGGAACTGAGATGATGGTGGCAGTTTTCAGGCAGGTGGGAACAGTTACCAGTGTGGGGGAGGTCTTAAGATGTCGACCAGCACCTCGTGGAGCTGATCGGCCCAGTCTTTCAGCACCCTTCCCAGGATGTTATCAGGTCCTTTTGCTTTGTGAGGATTAATCCTCCTGAAGGTACTCCTTACTTCTGTTGAAGTCACGCTGAAGAACTCCTCTTCCGCTGGTGAGGTGAGTCTGGTGCTGGGTGGTCTATTTGGGTCTTCAAAGTGGGCATAGAACCTGTTAAGAGCATAAGGCAGTGATGTGTCCCTACGCTACTGGTTTGCTTCATTGTCGAGGTTTATTCATTCATCTTGTGTTGTGACTAATCAAAATATAATCCAATCTATGTAAGTTTTTGGGAATCACTTTAGGAACCTCTGCAATAGATCCTGTTACTTGGGAAGCAAAGAACCCTTATATGTTGTGTGTGTGTTTTTTTTTACTCTCCCACCCCCTGGATTTGTTTATGCAGAGAAATTTCATTAACCTTATTGCTATTGTTGAAGTCATTAGCAGCACCTGCACTGCCCTCATCGTTACAAGTCACAATGTCTGCTGTGAAACAGGTCTTTTCAGTCATAAACCCAAATGTACAATGGCATAAGCTCCAGCAGTGTGGGGGTCACAGTCAGAGTGCACACAGATCACCACTCTGGACAGGTGCACGGGATTAGGGTCAATTAGCTAATGAAGGACGCCAGCTGAGGGAAGAGAAAGACTGAGACCTCTGGTAATAATCAAATAGAGTGCAGCAAGGGAGGGAGGGAAGGAAGGAAGGAGGCAAGCAATTTGAGTTTAAACACTGCCCAAAATTGAACTTAGAAAAGTTTGTTTTTTATTTACATCAAATTTTGCTTGGTTGCTAAGTATAAATAGTTGCATAGATAAAAATAATAACATTTAAAACTATTAATACAATGGAAGTGTTAAAGCCAAATTAAAAACCGTTCTCATAAAATAGCTTTAAGTCTGCAATCGATCAAACTATGGGGAGTCTATGCAGACTTGTTAGTGTTTTGTGCTTTTGTGAAATGCCGAGTACTTTGCATAAGCAGCTTATGATCATCTAATCAGATACACAGAATAAGATTTAAAAACCATCCAAAAAAGTTCAATCTGGTCCTCTGGACATTCAAAAAAAACCAAAAACAAAACAAAGCAAAAAAAATCTAGAAACGTTTCGTCTCTCATCCAAGAGACTTCCTCAGTCTGAGGTGCTGTTTTCAGCTCAGTCTCTTAAATAGCACCTTCTTAGAGGAAGTCTCTTGGATGAGAGACGAAACATTTCTAGATTTTTTTTGCTTTGTTTTGTTTTTTTTGAATGTCCAGAGGACCAGATTGAACTTTTTTGGATTTTTCTACCTGGATTATTGAGCATGCATCAGGATATTTAAAAATCATGTTTAACAACATTATTAATACAGCCCATAAGTCAAACACTGTTCAGTTACAACACATACCGTATTTTCCGGAGTATAAGTTGCATCAGTCAAAAAAAAGCATCATGAAGAGGAAAAAAAAACATATATAAGTCATTTTGGTATATAAATCGCATTTATTATACGTCACCACTGACTTGTCAGGTTTATTATGGCAGCACGATGGCTCAGTGATTAACGCCGTTGCCTCACAGCAGGAAGGTCCTGCATTCAATCCCTGGTGGGACCTGAGGTCTTTCTGTATGGAGTTTTCGTGTTATTCTCGTGCTTGCGTGGGGGTACTCCGGTTTCCTCCCACAGATCAAAAACATGCATGTTAGGCTGCCTCCAGGTCCAGACCTCCCTTGCAAAAGAGAACTGTGATCTCAATGTTATTAGCCTGGTTAAATGAAAGGTTAATAATTATGTGTTTATTCAATGGTCAAAACAACTTCATTTCACCTGGACGGTGCGGCGCCATCCATTCATCCATCCATCATTGCAGCTAGAGCCACTAACTCTTCAGCGTTCCTCCGCCTGCACCAGCTGAGTGAAGCGAATGTGCACGGGAGGACTTGCAGTCCTTTGAAATTTAAAACGTCAGTCAAAAATTACTTTATGAATATGGAAAAAAAACGTATATAAGTCACTTCATCATATAAGTCGCAGAACTGACAAATCTACGTAAAATCTGCGACTTATCCGTCAGAAAATACAGTACACTTAAAAAAACGTGCCAAATTTTACCTTTGGAACCACAAAGATTTGTCACTTGAGTACAAAACCTCACAGGTATGGTTCTTGTACCTCCAACACTGGAAATGTTTTGGTATCCATGTAGTCTGAACCTTTTAGAGAGCAGTTTTGTACTTCAGGTGGGAGCCCTGCAGCCTAGATTATTGCCCCTTCAAAGTATTCAATTATACTGCAGATGTTTTATTCTTAAACTTACCTTTCTTCATCTTTATCTCTGACATAGAGACCATTACCATAACCCCAGCAGATGCACGCTGGGTCGGGGCCTGGTGGCTGGGCTACCTCATCGCTGGAATCATCACCCTGCTCTCTGCCATCCCATTCTGGTTTTTGCCCCGCTCCCTACCCATACCTGGGTCCCAGCTCTCAAAGCAGTGCAATCAGGAGCAGACAAGTTTTATCAAAGACTCTCCGCATCCAAAGAACAAATATCAAGCAGAGGAACGTATCAGTTTTATAGAGATGGCTAAAGGTAAGGACAAAATAAGAGGTTTGCTTTAAAGGAAAGTGTTTCTTTCTTCGTATTTGTTTGCTGGTACAACATTATTTTTGCCTATTTGCAGATTTTATTCCAACCCTGCGAACTCTGCTGGGACACCCGGTGTATCTGATCTACTTGTGTGTGACAGTCATCCAGCTGAACTCTCTCATCGGCATGGTCACCTACAAACCCAAGTATATCGAGCAGCATTTCAGACAGTCTGCCTCAAAGGCTAACTTCCTGATGGGTATGTGTAAGTTTATGACTTTTGCTATGCACTAGATAAATTATAAGTTTACTACAACTCGGTAAGTAAACATCAAGTGATCAACTAATGTTATATTGTAAGGTATGACAGATCTGTGTGTTTCCTTTCCATTTACTAGTCCTCTAAGTTTTTGCATCTCTTGAATGAGACAGACCTTCAGCTAGAACTTATTGTATAAGAACTGGGTTAGCGCATTTGAATTCATCCCATTAGCTGTCATCATACGAGTGATGGGGGCTTTGTGACTATGAAAACTGTTCTGCGCATAAGATGAAATACTTAATGAAGTTTAAAGAAGAAAATAAAAAGATCTACGTACATACAATGTCATAAGGGTCCTGCTCTGAATAGACTGGATGCATATGAAGGAGAATGTAATATTATTGACCACAGCTAAGGCTGTGTGTATAGATCAAAGACAGCGTTCTTGCACTGATGTTAAACAAAAGTATAGGAGCAAAAGATTAAAAGCAATTACCTATATTTTAAAGCTATTTGATCATTTGTCCACTGAAAGCATCTATGATGTTAAATGCAGGCTTGTGTTTATCACTAACATAGATTTCAGCCCAGCTTCTACTAAAAAAGTCACATCTTAGTTCTATTACCCATCCTATGACTCAGACTTTTATGTTTTTAATGATCCCAGGTGTGATCAATATCCCAGCTGTGGCACTGGGGATGTTTTCTGGTGGTGTGCTCATGAAGAGGCTGAAGCTGAACATTATGGGAGCAGCCAAGGTTGCTTTTGGCACTTCCCTGATTGGTTACATCCTATCACTGTTTTTCTTTGCAATGAGCTGTGAGAATGCCAAGGTAGCCGGAGTGACACTGTCATACCACAGGTGAGTCGAACATTCCTGCTGTGTCGAAGAATGTTTTCCTTGTATTGACTTCATCCGTGTACTTAGTAGACTTGTGACTGTGCTTATTTGTAACTGTGGCCTGAAGTAAGTTGCTCATTTGCTCTCGGACAAAAGGTTAAGCTAGCAGACAGAGTGGTGGTAATGAAATGCAACTGAAGTGTTGAAAGGTCATGAGCATACCTGCCAACATATGCTGAGGGAAATGAGGGATACGTACAAGCAAGTGCTAGTGGTGTGAAGTGGTCCAAGGGGGCTCTGTGGGCATGCTTCCACCCCCAGAAAATTGAAGAGAAAATAAAAAACTTATCAAAAGTATGCATTTTCTAACCATTTGAAGCACCGTTTGCTAAATCCTTTATATTAATAAAACATAAAACCAGTGTATTCTACGTTTAATAAAGGGTGTAACACTTACTTTCATTTAGCCTTTAAGTTGAACTTTATTCAATCCAGTTTATTTATATAGTGCCACATACTGTATATACGGTAATACTTTACAATAAGGTACACAAAATTTGCTTAACTACTAGGGAACGCCTAAGAAACAAATCAGGATCTAATGGGTAGTTAACCAGTACTTACTGGGGAGCACACTGCCAAGCCTTATTGAGGGACTACTGGTTAGTTACCTTGTAAATTAAGAGAAGCTAATCAAGAACTAATGGGTAGTTACCAAGGAAACCAAAGAGGAACAAATCAAGAGCTTATGGGTAGTTAACCAGTACTTACTGGGGTACACACAGCCAAGCCTTATTAGTGGACTACTGGTTTGTTACCACAGAAACAGATAAGAAATTTTCCCTGTGGGTTTTGAATAAAGTCTGCATCAGTGAGGTCACAGCTTGTAATTGTCAAAAACCTGTTTCCTAGTGATTACTGACTTTATTACCCATTAGCTCCTGATTCATTCCTCTTTAGTTTCCTTGTTAACGACCCATTAGTTCTTGAATAGTTCCTCTTCATTTACAAGGTAACTAACCAGTAGTCCCCTAATAAGACTTGGCTGTGTGTTCCCCAGTAAGTACTGGTTAACTACTCATTAGCTCCTGATTTGTTCCTGAGGCGTTCCATAGTAATTAATCAAATTTTGTGTACCTTATTGTAAAGTGTTACTGTATATATTGTATGTATATACACATACATACTTTATCTGAGATACATGCTTGAAAATTACATTGCCCTCATTTTTTTACACACATTGAGCATCAACAGTTTGTTTTGACTGCATCATACGGTACTTTAATCACAAATTATCTTTTGCTCCATGTCAGCTTATGCAGTAACAAAGCAGGCTACAGTGAGAAATTTACTAGTTTTGTAACACAGTATAAGTACACATATAAATAGAAACTATAAGCTGCCCTACACACCCCAGATCTGAGGTTACAAATCATGAGTCCCACCATTTGTCTTTCATTGATGGCCATAGAAACTAAAGATTGGAGCGCTCACTTTTATTCTCGACAATGATTTTTTTAAAAGAGAGTGAACATTTTTAACTGCTCAAAAGTTATTCCATTATAAATATCTTTAAAGGAGCATTGCTTTTCCATTTTCTGAAATGTGCATGCCGCCAAATTTGTTTGTATATTTTTGACTGCGGGACTGAGTGTGTTAAAATTTAAAATGTATGCTAAATGAACGATTTATTTTTGCATGCAATCACTTACCTACGGTAATAATCTCTAGTGTGATCATATATCGGTGATGGAAATATATTACTCAGTTGTTTTAATCTGTTTTGTTCTCTTTCTTCCAGCATGAACCAACTTTCTTACGACAAACACTCAGTGTTCACTGGCTGCAACTCAGATTGTTTGTGTTCATCCAGTGAGTGGGACCCTGTGTGTGGGGAGAACGGCATCACATACGTTTCTCCATGTCTTGCCGGCTGCACCACTTCAACAGGCTCGGGGAAAAACACAGTAAGAACCACAACTTTGAAACACAAGAAACGGCTATTTAGAAGCATTAAAGTGCTCGTCAATACCGTCAACTGCAGTAGGAAGTAAAACCAGTACAGTATTTAATTTTAGGTTTAAATGGATTTGCAAGAAAACAAACGGAACAAACGATTTTGAACAAGTGAATACCGTGTTCTAGAGTTTTATGTGTTAGAAGCAAAAAATGAAAAGAAAAATGTGACAAGCACATGATTGGTGATTACCAAGGCTTTAATGGTGATGCCTGGATCATAGCAAGCTAGCAGAATCTAGGAAATGCTGTGAAAATTGTTGGGAAAATGTGAATATTAATTACAGACAAAGAACATCATTCCTGACCAGATTCACATCTTCAACAAATGATGATGTATGGTGGGAGCAGGATAATCTACTTGGTTTTAATAGGTTTTGGAGGAACACAAGAATGAGTTTGAGACATTGACTTGGTTTACAAATTTACAAGATCTTTTTTTTTTTTTTGGGGGGGGGGGGCTGTGGCTGAGTGGTTAGAGCAGTCATCATCCAATGGGAGAGTTGGGGGTTCGATTCCGCCAGCAGTCACATGTTGAAGTGTCCTTGGGAAAGACACTGAACCCCTCATTGCCTCCGATGTGTGTCCCATCGGTGTTCGAATGTGATAAAGCTCTGATTATTACTGAAAAAAGCAGCTTAAGACATTTTTATTCAGACAAGCTTTTAGTTAAATGTTTTATTTACTGTTTTTATTAATCAGCTGTTGTTGTTTATGTTCTACTTGAAGCCTGTATTTTATATTTTTGTAAAGCACTTTGTGATTGTATCTATGAAAAGTGCTATATGAATAAAGTTTACTTACTTACTTATTATTCTTTGTATAGATCTAGTAGAGTGCTGTGTGAATGGGTAAATGAGGGCACAGATTGTGGTGTAAAGTGCTTTGAGTATCTTGATAAGATAGAAAGGAGATATATAAGTACAGTTCAGTCTATTTACCATTTACAATATCTCAATCCAGTTAGGCGTCTTTTGGATGTGATAGACAGAAAAGTTTGACCTGAGCTGCCTCACAACCTTCAGAACTGAAAGGATGTACTGCAGGCAACTTGGTGTCAGTCACCACCTTAATGATCTAAGTCCACACCTCAATAGCTCATTGTTTGTGCAAGGGAGCTATGCTCTTTCATCCATCCATCCATTCATCCATCCATCCATTCATTCAAGTCCATTTTTTTAAGGGCTGATTGGCACTCAAGTTTGTAGTACTATATGTGTAACTGATTTAATAATATTCTAATAAACAGAAGTGAAGATAAATAATATATTGCTAGCCATCATCACTTTTCACATGAAAGGCAGCCAGCCATTTGTAATTTTAACTTTAGATGAACTTACTAATTATTTTTTCCTACTTGAAACAGAGAAACTCGAGACTTCGGACCACAAATGGAACGCATCATTAAAAGTGCTAATTTTCCAGCTGTGCTGCAGTGCTAAAGCTAGCTTTTACATGAGCTGGAACAAGAAGTTCAGATTTGGTTTTAGCTGTGATACTCTTACTTTTGACCCCTTGGGACACGTTCTTATAAAGTTTCTACTGAGTGTAGCAGAGGGAGTTATAGCATCTGGCAACTTATGTTCTCATTAGGCAAAACAATATTCTTGCTTGTTGCTGAAGATCACATTTTTGTTAAACCAGAGCTTTTACAGGAGCAGTTTGAAACTGTTTTGATGAAACAGCCAAACAATTAGGCAGGTGACTGTTGTTGATTCACATAGTTAGTAAAATGTTCTCCTTTAATAACAGTATGAGAGATGCATGTTATCTTTAGCAGTTTGGGTGTTTTTAATTTTACATTTGTGCATGAAAGTTTGTGAACTGTTAATACTTTTCTATATTTCTGCATAAAATTGACCTAAAACATCATCAGATATTCACACAAGTCCTAAAAGTATGTAAAAAGAACCCAGTTAAACAAATGAGACAAAAATGTTAAACTTGTTCATTTATTTATTGAGGAAAATGATCTATTACTACATATTTGAGTTATAACAATGGTCTTGAATTTCCTCTGTACACAATCTGTCTGTTCTTTACATCAAACCCACTGTCCACTCACACCTGATCATCATCCAAAACTTCTCCTCCTCCACCATAACCCTCAACACTGGCTCTCCTCAGGGATGTGTGTTGAGCCCCCTCCTGTTTACTCTGCTCACATATGATTGTGCAGCTACCCATCCAGGCTGTCACATTGTAAAGTTTGCAGATGATACAGCGGTGGTGGGATGCATCACAAACAATGATGAGTCCAGCTACAGGCAAGAGGTGGAACACCTGGAGAGCTGGTGCAAAGAGAATAACCTTCACATCAATGTGAAGAAGATGAAGGAGATGATTGTGGACTTCAGAAGGAACAAACACACCTACAACCCCCTGAACATAAGATGATCTGCAGTGGAAGGGGTCTCCAGCTACAAGTATTTAGGTGTACACCTGAATGACAACCTCATATGGGGCAACAACTCCACCAGCCTGATCAAGAAAGCTCATCAGAGACTCTACTTCCTCAGGCGGCTGAGACGAGCTGGTCTGGGAAGCTCAGTCCTCACCTCCTTCTACAGGTGTGTAGTGGAGAGCATCCTGTGCTCCAGCATCAGTGTGTGGCATGGAGGCTGCACAGCTGCAGAAAGAAAAGCTTTGCAGAGAGTGGTGAAGGCTGCACAGAAATCTGTCGGAGTCAGCCTCCCCACCATCACAGACATCTACACCTCCAGATGCAGGAAGAGAGCGACCTGCATCATGAAGGACCCCACTCACCCAGCACACACACTTTTTGCCCCGCTCCCCTCAGGAAGGAGGTTAAGGAGCATTAAGTCTAGAACCACTAGACTGAGGAACAGCTTCTACCCTGAGGCTGTTAGACTCATGAATCTCTAACCAGAATAATCACTGTGAAAAATCACATCATGCTGCTGATCTGTTCCATGTTACTGCTGATCTGTTCCATGTTGCTGCTGATCTGTTTCATGTTGCTGCTGATGTGTTTCAATGTAGATGTGTTCATGCATGCTCATCTGCTCACACAGACTCATGCTCATGTTCGTGCTGATGTTCGACATACTGTTTTTATGCTACTAGTGCTTAGTGTATATTTAGTTGATGTTTTTCTTAGTTCATATCTTAGATGTTATCATTGTTTTTATTTTACATTTTATTGTTGGAAGTAACTGGGACCTTGTGTACATAATTTCGCTCCACCACATGTACCACATGAGGTGCGAATGACAATAAAGTTTCTCTGACTCTGACTTTTACCACTCAAATATGAAATATTGGATCACTATCCTCAATAAATAAATGACCAAGTTTAATAGTTGTGTCTCATTTGTTTAACTGGGTTCTCTTTATCCCCTTTTAGGACTTGTATGAAAATCTATGATGTTTTAGGTAATTTATGAGGAAATATAGAAAATTATAAAAGTTCACTAACTTTCAAGTACCACTGTACATAAAAAGCACATCCCAGTAACACACAAATCTTCATTTATAAACTTGTAGCTGCTTTGTATTGTTGTGTAAGTGTGCAAATGTGTGTGTGTGTCCATGTGTGATGTACTTAGTGTAGTCATGTGTAGTGTCATGTCTCTCCAGGTCTTCTCTAACTGCAGTTGTGTCGGTGTGGCTGGTAACTTGACAGCCAGTCCGGGTCATTGCCCTGAAAAGGACGACTGCGACAGGATGTTCCCGTACTTCCTTGCCCTCTCTGTCATCACTTCCTTTATCATCTCCCTTGGGGGCACTCCAAGCTACATGTTTCTCATCAGGTTAGACCAGAAATTAAAAATAAATGTATAAGAAAACACTTTTTAAGTACCAAAATACTTGGTGCTCGTTTTTTTTTTTTTACGGCTCGATTTTCCTGGAAGTGCACCGAGCAGCGAATCTCTGGACTAAGTGTACTTGCATCATTTTACCAAGAGAGTCAGGGGAGAGACATGAGGAGAGAAGTCAAAATGTGTGCAATTAGAACAATATCATAGTTTCTTTGGAAACACTATTTTTCAAATCAACAGCAGTCTCATTTAGAGCCTACCATTGTATTTTAAGGTGAACGTCATTAACAGCAAGCTGTTGTCAGAACAAACACTTCTGAACTGCTTTTCATGGAAATCTTCTTATCTTGTTGAAGGTTATTAACCTTTATTACATTACTTGTTTTATCCCACTCTGTCAACCTATGCCTCATATTCAGTAGTGGTGTTTTTCAAGCTTTAGAGCAGCAACAAATCATAACATTTACATAAAGAATCCACACTTAATGCTTCTTATACAGTCCAACATATATAATATCTGCAGCGATCAGGCTTCTCAGTGAACAGTGGTGATTTCTGCTCTGATATTTTAGTGTCTTCATGTCTTGTTTTGATGTTTTATGTGTCTATTCACTGTGAAACAAATTGCCCCTTGATCAAATGAACCTTGAACTAACAAAGTCCATGCTCAATAATCCAGGTATACAATCCAACAATTTTCAGTCAGGTCATCTGGACAAAAAATTCTTTTTTTTTTTGTGCTGAAACGTTTCACCTCATCCAGAAGGCTTCATCAGTCAAGGAAACACACAACAAAACAGATTCTTCCCCCAAACAGCTTACTCCAAAGTGGAACAAAGCAGTTCTGTTGGTGCTAAAATGGTGTCTTTGGCACGCCCCTCCTCCGGTGCCGGCCCTCTTCCTCGTCGACAGTCATGTCAAACTGGTTCAAAACCAACAAAGTCCATGCTCAATAATCCAAGGAAACACACAACCGCTGATGAAGCCTTCTGGATGGAAGGTGAAACGTTTCAGCAAAAAAAAAAAAAAAGAAACTGTTCAGATGCCCTGACTGAAATTTTTTGGATTGTATACCTGGATTATTGAGCATGGACTTTGTTGGTTTTGAACCAGTTTGACATGACTGTCGGCGAGGAAGAGGGCTGACACCGGAGGAGGGGTGTGCCAAAGAGACCATCTTAGCACCAACAGAACTGGTTTGTTCCACTTTGGAGTAAGCTGTTTGGGGGAAGAATCAGTTTTGTGTTGTGTGTTTCCTTGACTGATGAAGCCTTCTGGACAGAAGGTGAGACGTTTCAGCACAAAAAAAAAAGAAACTGTCCAGAAGACATGACTGAAAATTGTTGGCTTGAACCAATAGGGGATGAAAACATTTTTAACCAGGTGTTACAGCGGCCTCTGTTGGTGAAATATCTTCATTACAACATGACCTCTGCTGTCTGGTCGTTTCCATACCGAGGTGCTGTATGTAAGCAAAATAAAACCTGGAGTTAAATAATTTAAAGGTATTACACTTTGACATGTCAACATACGTGTCTGTTGAGTGGTTTAAACACCCTTGAAGCCACATGAGGTGTTCTCTTGAAATGAAATACCTCCGATGATTTTCTTATTGGAGGTTGAACTGAAGCAGAGAATAGCCAGTTTAGTTAAAGAGGTGAAAATGGAATTTGACTCAACTGTTTTGGTTCAGTATTTGTTTAATTTATAGAGATTTTTGAAAATAAATCTTAAAATATTCGACTTTTATCTGTGCAGGTGCATCACACCGCAGCTGAAATCTCTGGCTCTGGGTTTCCATGCTTTGGCAACACGGACTCTTGGTAAGTCTTCTTCAGAGTGCAGCTCAGAGCGGTTCAGAGCCGAGGAGGAACGGGCAAACCTGGTTTCACTATGGATCTTTTCCATGACTGTTATGGCCCAGAATGTCAACATTTGAGTTAAACGTCTGTAAAACTGAGAAGTGAGAGCAGGATCTGTTGTGCCAGAGGTTTGATTGTAAAACGTTTTGTTGACCTACAGCAGGGATCCCTGCGCCCATCTACTTTGGAGCAATCATTGACACCACGTGTCTCAAATGGGGTCAGAAGAGATGTGGAGGTTTAGGAGCCTGCAGAATCTACAACACCACAGCATACAGGTGATCACATCATACTGCGACCCATTTCAACCCGCAACACCTTTTCACCTGTTACACAACCTTTCTTTTTAAACTGTTTATTAAGAAATCATGTAGTTACATTCATAGTACGGATACTGGCTTCATGTAAAGCAAATCACTTTCCAATCTGAAGAAAAATATATTAACGTGCAAATGTTTCAGGAAATTTTCCCTAAAAGTGAAGGTTTATTCTTTCATGGGTACAATGGGTCTACTTTTCCCCCAGGTTTCTTCAAATGCTTCATTCTTTTGTTCTTTTCTTTCTTTTGTTCTTTCTTTCTTTTCTTTCAGAAATGACTCTTTTACAGTAACTTTGATGTTTATCATTCATAACATTTCCCAATCTATCTAAGAACATAGCAAACATTCTTGTTTGCTTAAATACTCCCAACTTATAACCAGTTCTATTTGTTCTTACAATACAATATACTGTATATTGTCAAATATACAATAATACAATACATTATGATGTACTAGGTTATGGTACAATCAAATATGATCTAAAGCAATATACTGTAGTACAATTAGTGATGTTCCGATACAGATCCTGATATCTAGCTATATATGTATGTATACATACATACATATATAGCTATACATACACACACACTACTCGAACTTTTACTCCTAAAAACACCCAGATACTTCAGACCGATACCACTTTTATAATTGGTGACATCGTTTTTTCTTTTACTTTGCAAATAATACGGAATAAAACATTAAACATGGTTTTAGTTTGGTGATAAACATGGGTCGTGTTAGGGCAACAGAATATTTTCTGTGTTTCAAATAAAATAATTGTGTTTCTAAAGGTCACTGTGTAATGTTTAAGTACTAAATCTTTAAATACTCTCTATAGGTACTCAGTATTGGCAAGTAACCAAACTGAAGTATGTACTTTTTATTGTATTTGGTCTGAAAAATAATATTAAAATAAATAAACATAATATTGGGACACCTCCAGGTACAATACCATGTGAAATGTTATATGATACAATATATTTTGACACAATACATTATTGCATAATAAAATACAACATGAACTGTTACGATGCAATACATTTGTCAAAATGAGACACATTTTAACAAAACTCTATTATTTTACTTTCCATCCTCTCAGGATAGCATACCTGGGTCTAACTTTAAGCCTGCGAACTATCTCGTTTATCATTTGCATTCCGGGCTTCATTCTGCTCAGCCGACAGCTGGAGGAGGAGGAAAAAAGCTCCATACGTGAAGCTCTGTCTAACGGTGGAACGGAACTGGAGGCGCTCAGGAAGGATGAGTTTGTTGTACAGAAGTCTGATCAAACAGTTCACACGTCGGGCAACGGCACAGATGGACACGGCCGGCTGTGACCGCCTGGCAAGCAGAAGTGACTTTGTTTTTTATTTTTCCTCCTTTTTTGACGTGCGTTTGTCACTTAACCAAATACGCACGAGGTTTGTACAGTCTGATGCCGTAAACATGCACTTACACTCAACTGAGATTTGCAGGGAACCACATGTTTAATCATCTCATGTTCAGCAGAAAATCTATATTTGTACTACTGAATGTGTGCACGTGGTGAGACTATGACAGAAATTTAACCTGTTTCTGGAATGTGCATTATTTTTGTTTATCCTGGCAGACAAAACTAGGATATTTTTCAGGTTTTGGCACAAAGACAAGGCAGGAAGTGTGAGTCATGCAGGCTACTACACACCAGTATGAGGACTAATAAACACCAGCATCCTACTGAGCTGCCTCTGCAAGGACAGGTCCTTCAAAATGAGCCTTTCTTCCTGTCACGCATGAAATAAAGTGGCCTTGTGAAGCAGAGACAACACATTAGGAAAATCAGGTCAGCTAAGATAATTTTTCAACAGTTTAAAGGGATAGTTCAGCTCTTTTATGGTGGGGTTCTATGAAAAGGCTCTGAACAGTTATGATCTTACCTGCTCTAGACAGCTCTTTGAACAACCAGTTTCTTGGACCAACATGGAAGTGCATTACTGACTTCCAACAACTATTCCAATCTTTAAAAAGTCATAGTGCTCCATGCAAACAAGTAATCATTCATACTTCTCCTTCTTTCAGCTTTTTCCTTTCCATGATTCGCCACAGCGCAACTAGTAGAGCTGCTGCCTCTCAGCGAGCAGGTCCTTGGTTCAAACCCCGGTCCAGGGGCCTTCTGGGTAGAGTTTGCATGTTCTCTCCGTGCATGCGTGGGTTTTCTCCGGGTACTCCGGTTTCCTCCCACAGACCAAAAACATGCATGTTAGGCTGATTGGTAACTCTAAATTGTCCCTAGGTGTGAGTGAGAGAGTGAATGGTTGTTTGTCTCGTTTGTCTCTATGTGTTCCTGTGATGGACTTGCGACCTGTCCAGGGTGTACCCCGCCCCTCGCACAGTGATTGCTGGACATGGGCACCAGCGACCCCCGTGACCCAAAATGGAATAAGCGGGTAAAGATAATGGATGGATGGATTCGCCACAGTGAGTCATCCTCCTTCTCTCTCTGTCCTCACTCCAACTACCTCCATGTCCTCTCTAACTGCATCCATAGATCTCCTCTTTGTCTTTATCCTGGCAGCTGCATTTCTAACATCCTTCTACCAATATACCCACTGTCCCTCCTCTGGACATGTCCAAACCATCTCATTCTGGTCTCTCTAACTTTATCTCCCAGTTGTTCAACCTGTGCTGTACCTCTGATGATCTCATTCCTAATCTGATCCATCCTTGTCACTCCTAAGGAGAACCTCAACATCTTCTATTCTGACACTTCCACTTCCTTCATTCACACACATGTACTCTGTCTTACTACGGCTGACTTTCAGTCCTCTTCTTTCAAGTGCATACCTCCCCCTCTCCAAGCTCTCTTCCACCTGTTCCCACCACAGATCACGTCATCTGCAAACATCATAGTCCACGTGGATGCCTCAATATTCATCGTTCATACCCTTTCCGTAAAAAAGCTGAATCATCCTTTTAAATGCTTGCTCAGACATGCAACGTACCAGAGACCTGCAGTTACTGACGTGATCTATAGAAAACAGTATGTGCCTCATTCACTCAACAGTTACCTCAGACCTGCTGATAATGGAGCGATTGTGATTAGTATTTAAATAGTAATCCATTCTACGTAAAAACCTTTAGCCTGTGAGTCCCAGAAACTTATTAAACTGAATTTGAACTTTTTTTTTAAATTTTATGTAAAGCCCAAAGTTTGGTCTGATTGCACAGCAGTTTGTGTTGTATTCTGCTGGGCGTAGATTTAGGTATTTATAGTCACTTGAAATAAAGTATTTTAGTGTAGTCTGTGGTAGCTCGTTGCCGTGGTCCCATAATCCTGAGGCTGCAGGTCGCAGCAGGAAGGACGTCTGGTGTAAAAACCACAGCCAGACCTTGCGTGCGCGTTCGCTCGCTTGTAGAAAGAAGCAACTGACAGAACAAGCAGCGTAATCTGAAGCAGAACTTGTTCACCAAGAGGCACCAGTCATTTATTTAAAATAACCAATGATCCTCCAGTGAAATTTCTCTGCAGATGATTTTACTAAGAAAACACAGCACTTTAAGTTTAAAGTTTTAATTCACAGGTATTTCCAGGTTCGGGTGTTAAATACCAATCGTGTTTTTTCAATAAAGGCTGTTTGTAATGTGACACTATGTATATGTTGAGTGTTTTGGACGGTAAAAGTCAGAGTTTGTGAAGTTCTGCTCCCACACAAATGCCCGTGTTCGGTTTGTTTCACTGGTCAGCTGTTTGTGTGTTTTTGTTTGTGAACCGGGTCACCTGTGCCAAAACCCAGAAACGCTGTAGTCTGCTCTCAGGTTTTTATCCTCGTATGAAGCTTATTTTTGTAATCAGAAGTCATTTCTGTTCAATACGTTCTTCTCTCTAAGTACTACCAATCAAACTGTAACTGTGATATTTGTCAATACTTGAACATCTGCATATTTTTCTTCTGTAAAATTGATCTGGAAGAGCAGGGAAACTTTTGAATGGTTAGACAAACCTAAATGTTCAGTGCTAATAGTTCAGATCTTCTGAGGTGGAGTTTTATGGAACAGCTTTGAACAACTAATATCTTACCTGCTGTAGGTAGCTCTTTGAACAACCTTGGTTTTGGAGAAATGATTAAAAGAAACTAATCAGACTGACAAGCTAATGGCTAGTCAAGTGGCAATAAGCCTAAAATGGGTTGCTGTCATCGTAAAACAGCTATCAGCGTTAAAGTAGTTCATGGGAAGGTCAGTTTATAACCCTTTAAAGGGATAGTTTGGTCATTTTGAAAAGATGTGTCGAATAGTAATCAACAGTTTATCAGATGACATCAATCGTAAGGCTTATTCAAAAACCAATTCTGTGAAATGGCCGCAGACCAGTGTGTCTTTAAGCTTCCTCTGGCCTTTCAGATGAAGCCGTCACGTTCCGCTCAGACGTGAGCTTCGAGCCGAACCAAGAGAGACGCGGAGCAGAACTCTGCTGGGTTGAAACAGAGCGTGATGCATTCACTGTGTGTCGGACATTTCCCTCGTCTCATTTATTATAATGAATTACTCAGTTTAGCGATCCGCTTTGTGGTTAACTAATTTTTTATTTTTTTTTACTAAAAAGTTTCTGTGTATCATCAACAATACACTCTCTGTAACAAATCACTTTGCTGCGGTCACAACTAATACCATCAGTTCACTGCATAACTGAGCTCTAAGGATCTTTTGATCCATTTATCATTTCCTCACGGTGGCCAGCCCGGCTTTTTATTGCTTCGCTCGGCGGCACAGAGACACAACAGAGGTGGTCTGTCTGCGCCCCCCCCACCCCCGCTTGTCTTCTTTATGGACCAAGATGTACGAACGAAAACGCTATCATGCAAAAGTGTAGAAATGTTACGAGTGTTCCAACAAAGTTCAGTCAGGTCATCTGGACGGTTTCTTTTTTTGTTGAGACGTTTCGTCCTTCATCTAAAGGACTTCATCAGTCTAAGGAGCCACAACAAGCTCAGTCCCACAGCACACTCACATAGTGGGCCAACCAGTTTGCTGGCGCTAAGATGGTTTCTGGGGCCTGTCCTCTCCTCCCGTCAACTCCTCTGAGGCAGCCATGGCCAAAGTGGTTCAAAACATCAAAGTTCAACAATCCAGGTAGAAAATTCAACAAAGTTAAATCAGGTCATCTGGACATTTTCTGTTTTTTGTTGAGACGTTTCGTCCTTCATCCAAAGGACTTCATCAGTCCGAGGAGCCACAACAAACTCAGTCCCACAAGCAGCACTCACATAGTGGACCACGGCTGCCTCAGAGGAGTCGACGGGGGAGAGGGTGGGCTCCAGAAACCATCTTATCCCCAGAGAACTGGTTGTTCCACTATGTGAGTGCTGCTTGTGGGACTGAGTTTGTTGTGGCTCCTCGGACTGATGAAGTCCTTTGTATGAAGGACGAAACGTCTCAACAAAAAAGGAAACCGTCCGGATGACCTGACTGAACACGGTTTGATTTCGTTTTACCTGAATTATTGAGATGAACTTTGGTGTTGTGTAGCGTTCTTTCACACCAGCATATTTGTGAGTGGCTACCAAAGACTCGTGGACTTTTTCCTTTTTCTACTTACGCTATGGTTGATAAGGTACCAACTATCCTTTAATGTCAAGTCTGAGTCGCACAGTAGCGTACAAAAACCCAAAACATAAACAAAAAACCATGTTTATTTGCAAATGAAAAAGATCGACGGCAGCAGCTAGTGGAGCACTTTAATGTAAAAATGGTATAATATTTACATAACTGTGATATCTGAAACTGACAACGATGTGAAGGTTTTTAAAACAGTGCTTGAATCGTTATTAAAAAACGTTTGAGGATTTAAAATGACAGCGACCCTCTTTGGGTTTTGGCCCCGCTCAGACTAGTTGCTCACTTGTCAATCTGGTCAGAAACAATTACACTTTCCCAAAACGGAGTTTGTTCTACAGCAGGTAAGATACTGTTTATAACCCTTCCATAGGAACTCTCTTTGAAAGACCTGGCGTGTTGATTTACGTTTGTAAATTCAAGCTAAATCAAATTTCTAGAGACAAACGTCCAGTCTGTACAAACAGTATTTGACAATCAAAACCATCTCCTGATTGTTCTCAAACTCTTTACATTACATCACTCGTTTTCTGATGAAGGTTGGGGGCTATGAACGACGCACTCGTTCTGATTAGATTATTTTTTTCTCCCTCATGTAGAAGTCAAACAAAACACTTCTAGTTCGATTTCATTTTAGCGCTATTCTATTTAACTTGACATGAATGTTTTTAATTTAATTTCATGTTTTTATTACGTCAGCTGAGGACAGCTCAGGTGGTTTATCTGCGCTTTAGTGCTATTGGATCACATCACAACTGAAATGATTGAAAACAGGATAAACAACTCATGTTTGATTGTGTGTAACACATTGACATTTTTCACTTTGACTTTTTTTTTTACATCTTCCATTCCTTTATTTTTAATAGCTCATAACTAAGCAGTAAGCACGATACTCCACCATGCACTAAAGAGATTTTACATGAACCGATTTATAAAAAATAAATGACCAAATCATTACCGTAGCATGTGCGTGTTACACTAAACTCTGACAGTTCTGTCTCATATGAAAAGAACTGTTCAGACAGAGACTGTATAAGAGGTGTGTGTGTGTGTGTGTTGTGCGTCATGTGACTCATTCAGTTTGTAGAAGCATCAAAAGGTGCTCTGATCACATTAGTTTTACATTTTAACCCCACTAGGCTGCATGGGTTCCAGTTTTCATGTCATTGTAGAAAAACATCAAATCTCACGTTGTGTGACAGAAGACATGTCATGGAAGTTCTTACTTTTTTTATTATGTCTGTGTTCCTCCTCGGAGAGGGAGCAAAGTTTCATGTGTTTACAGTATATGAAATATTTTGCTGTAACCTCTAAATAGTTGGAAAAAGCTGAGCTGAGCACATGTATGATGTGTCAGATGGCATCTTCAGAACTGAGCTGTGAAAATTATGCAGAGATACTATAATAAAAAATATCTAAATATTGAAATTTAAAGAAACATCACTAATTTTTCTTTTTTTAATCAATTACTTTTACAAAAGTTAGCTATGCTTGTTCACTGGCATCCAGCAGGGGGTGTTGCATACCCCCACCCCCCACTCAAAGGGAAAAAAAATGCATTAAGAGAAAAAAAAAAAAAAAGTCTTATTACGAGAATAAAGTCGTAATGCATCCTGGGTCGGCTCACACCTGCTGTGGACAGCCTCCAGTGCGAGTCACTGTGTTTATGAAGTAGTCCACGATCACTTTTGGGTCAAGGTTTGTGAAATATGCCTCCATTCATATTAAATGACTGATTTAATTAATGCCATACAGCTTCAGTTTATCATAAGAATTCATATGTTACAGTGCAACGGGTCCCTGCTATTGTACTGCCGACGTCAACATTCATCATTTTACCGCAGTTTTAACTTTTTTCATGTCCGAGTTCTGATATTATGACTTTATTCTGGTAATAATAGGACGTTATCGTAAATTACATTATTGTTGTACAACTTTATTCTTGCAACATGTCGTACAACTTTGTTCGTAATGTTTTGTTTTTTTTTCTTAGCGTGGCCCTAAAGCTCTGTCGTACGTACAAATGTGTATTTTATGGCAAGTCTTTAGCAGGGGCCTTCACTTCTGCACAGCTCGGAGAGAAAAGAAGAGAAACTTAAAATGTTCCACATTTTATATAGTTTTTGTTACATCTTCATTTCGTAGAACTGCCAAATCAGATGTTACTCTGATGTTAACTTCTGTTTTTAAAAACCGTACCAAACCCAACACACCCAGGTGCAGTCTTTAGACGATCTTTGGCTTGAATAAAAAAAAAACAACTCACCGTTTCAGCCACTTAATGTTTTCCATGAGGTCTCCACATTTATCATCTATAAACAACATGAATACCCCCCCACCCCACAAGTATTTAGTTATTTTAAAGTGTGTGTAGACTGTATATTTTCTGTTTGTTGAAGTCAAGGTTTGTGTTCAGGCACAGAGCAGAATACAGGAAGGAAATCTCAAAAAGGCATTCACTTGCATTTAAATAAACAAGATTGTACAGATATTTCTGATTATTTTTGTAAAATTTGAAATGTCATTGTAAAACAATAAAACGTTTCATATTCTATTTTTTGTGCGTCATTTATTTGAGTTCTGGAAAGTATTTGGTGGGGGAGAGATCTAGAAGAAAAAAGAAAATCATCAAACTGTTCTTTATTAAAGAAAATATCCTACAATCGGCTATAAAAGGCACTTCAATCTGGTCTCTGTACAACACAAGTGAACACAACCTGAACAAACAATATCTGAACAAAAAATGTAAACGTCTAAATTAAACACTTCACTAAAACCAAAACGGCCAATTAACAAAAAAAAAAAACACGTGATTTCCCACAACAGTGTCGTGAGCCGCCAAGCTAACAAAATTACAAAAATGATACATTCCTGGTTGCAACGCACAGAAAAGTCAAACGTGTTTGACGGGCATCAAATATAAAAACAAACATTCTATGGGTCCTTGAAAAATTAAAACAATTAACACTATAAACTAGGGGTTCCCAAACCTGCTCCTTGAGGAACACCATCCTGCATGTTTTAGTCGTTTCCTTGCTCCAACGCACCTGATTCAGTGATTTAACTACTCGAGCTCTGTAGAGCCAATTAAAATCAACCATTCACTCAGATCAGGTGTGTTGGAGCAGAGGAACAACTAAAACATGCAGGATGGTCCTCGGGGACCAGGGTTGAGAACCACTGATATGAACGATGGTAATACATTTTTTTTTCCTGATAATAAAAGCTAAAACAGGATCCCATGTGGTTAAAAGAAAACGTTTATCCTTACAGATACAGTTTCATATGTGGTTCCACCTGAACAAAGAGCTCATACTGTACGTTGGATGTCAATTAGAAGCGTGAGGAGCTCTGGCTGCACCACATTAAAAACGTGAAGCTTCGTCTACGTGCAAACTGTCTCCTCGCTGCTGCACATGCACGCTGAATTTACAAGCAGCTCAGGAACAGCGTGGCTGCAGCGTCCTCCAGTGGCATTAAAGCAAACTTTGACCACAAACACACATTTACAGCAGTTTACTGCAGAGACAAACGGTTGAGCCCTCAGCAAATTCTGCTTTGTGAACGGTCTAGATGGTTCAAACAAATGGAAGAAGGTGGAAAGCAGAAAATCATCAAGAGTTAAATACAAATAAAAACATTCACCTGATTTGAAACCATCACTTTTAAACCTCTGCTCCTCAGAGGATCCAATCCTAGTGGAGTAATCTAAAGCACGACCCATGGTTTGATGTGAAATGAAGGAGCGTGCTGCATGGCTCTCTTTGATTTGGCGAAGTCAACCCATCCGTTGTCACTAGTCATCCTTTTTGTTTCCACCATCCTCACGATTCTGAAAGGACAAGTAACCAGGTACAAAACTTCAGTCGGTTTCAAAATATTATGTAAGGCTACACAATCGTATTACAAAACAAAAACCAAAGCTGGTACATAAAATGAAAGGTCATCTGCTTATGAGTGTTTCTTTTTAAATTAAATGTCAAACACCGAACTTCAGGATTGACCTCGACTGGAAATCTAAAATAAATGTTTAAGTAGGGGGTTATGTGGAAATGTTATTATCAAAAATGTTATTTGTTGTAGATAGCCGTTTGAACAAATTCAGTTTGGAGGAAAAAAGTTGAATTCTAATTGGATGGATGAGCCAACAACCAATCTGTGCAGGTCCAAAACCAGAGCAGACTACTGCCATAAAACGTCAGTGTAATCATAGTGCTTCATGCGAACGCTCTTTTATAAACCTTTACATTCACATTTCACTTATTTACACTGAATATTTTGGCTATTTGCCAGCCTAAACAGGAAAAGCAGCAACTAGCTGTAGCACTTCGACAGAAGCCTGGACCACTTCCTGCAACATTATTAGAGCATTTCTGTCAGATTGACCGTGCAACGTGATGAGACTGAAACTAGGCCTGTCACGATAACACATTTTGCTGGGCAATTAATCATCTCAGAAATTATTGTAATAAATGATAATATCGCTTGAAATTCGACAAACGATATCGCTTGAAATTCGACAAACGATATCGCTTGAAATTCGACAAACGATATCGCTTGAAATTCGACAAACGATAATATTGTTTGAAATTTGACAATAAATGGCAATTAGTTTGAAATTTGACAATAAATGGCAATTGTTTTTCGGTTCTCAAAATGGCGGACGCTTGGTATGGTTTGAGCTCTTTAGCATAGCATTTGTTACACAAAGCTTTTAATAAAAAAAAAAAAAAAAAAACATCAGTAAACAAGTTTTAAACTTTTTTGCGAAGAAAATCAACTTTTACACAAGAAGCACGGGTTTCCAACTGAATTTTGGAGCTTCGACAACATGGAGGAAATTAGAGTCAGGTGTTTTCAATTAATGGAAGGAAGATCAGGTGCGAGTGGACTAGGGGTGGGCGATATGGCTCAAATATAATATCGAGATATTTCAGAGCATTCTGACGATAATAAATTTTGCGATACATATATAAAAAAAAACTGAAATCATAGTTAGACAAAATTAACTTAACATGTTGTTTTGCAGTATTACATAAAATAAAAAACAAGGGGTAATGTTACTGAAATTACTTTATTTAGTAAAATATTCAATCTCCAAGTATAAAAATAAAAAAGATCCTTCTGTTATTTAGATTGAAAAAAAGTGTGCACAAATAGATCAATAAATCCACCACAAAAACTAAAGTGCAGGTGAAGTTTCCCAAAATAAATAAAATGAAGTTTAAGATCTGTTGAGCATAAATGTAACAAACAAAATATATGTTGCCTTTAAATGAGCTATAACTTCCAAAACTTGTAACAAGATGATCAGCTGACCCTGAAACTTGCTGGTCTTTCATCTTCCTCTGTTCCTGCAGAAATGATTCAATTCTCTGTTCACCCGACTCTGTTCACCCGACTCTGTTCACCCGACTCTG